TGAGCGAGCGAGAGAACGCTTTCTTGTACCGATATCACTATATTTGGTGAGCTTCCATGCCAGAGTCATTATGGAAATGCAAACAAAAAGTTTCTTGTATCAGTTACGGCTATTAGACGTCGTTCGTTGGTTTGTTCGTTGTCTGCCGTTCTCTTGACTCCGTTCGCTCGCTCGTTCGTTCGTTCAAATGGATGGACTACAAAATCAACAGGGGAAATCGCATACATAATCATTTCATACCTATAACCATATCTCCCTCACGTTGAGCTCACTCACTCTGACGCTTAGTTTTGCTCTTCGCACAGCCATTTGGCTTTATGAATAATTTGGTATTTGGCTACTTTTGTGCTCCACATGAAAGCTTTAGCCCGTTGCGATTGAACGGAAGTGCGTATGTACTATTTTTTGTTGAAGTTATTGTTGTTGTTCTTGTTGTTCTATGGCATACGTACACGGGTGTTTACCTTTTTCCATATCAAATACGGGTCAGACGATGCTTACCGACCAAATTTTGAGTTGGTTAATTACTCAATAGTGGTTATGTGCATGTTGTTGCTTGGAAGTGTATGGTGGTTACTCGTACCAAAAAATCCCACTAGCAACAGTAGCAACAACATTCATCATTTTAACATACCCGTTCTACCGTTCGCATGTGATATTTATCATGACTCGAACACAAGAACTTGCTCGTTCGCTTTTTTCGTCCTGTGTACCATACACGTACAGGGTGGCCAACTCAAATATTCGGCCTTGAAATGCCGTACTGTTCCATCATCAAAATCCCAACGGTGCAAATGGAACCGATGCCACATTCTCAAACATTAATTTCCGGATACAGATTTCCAGCACCTGTTTTTTTTTCTTCAGTCATTCAGTCACTCACACTACCCGCTATCGTTTTTATACATTATGAAACATGTTGCTTGATCATACACACTTCGAATGGAACGTTGTTTCCTGATTACACGCATTTCGTCAATGTGTGACCCTATGTGCATGTGTGTTTGTGTGTGTAGTGAATTCCGTGCCATAATCGACGACGCCATTTAAACGATTTCCATTGTCAGGGCGTGATACCGTGGTTAAAAGCAAAGTAAAATAGCATAAGCCATTTGAACGGAAGCATAAATCGATTTTAAGAGCTACTGAAACTTAAGTTTCGGTCGAGCCGACAAACATAACACATATGAACGTGTGAGAATAAAAGCCTGACGCTAGCAGGTTTTTCGCAAAAGCGGGATAACCATCAGTTGCAAGCAAAAGAGACATTTCAAAAGGTTACACGCAAACGGAACATTTTATTTTGTCGCATTTTGAATTTTAAAGCCGTGATTACAACAACAATATACTTCTCTCTTGCGTGCAACCTTTTGAAATGTCTCTTTTGCGTGCAACTGATTTTTATCCCGCTTTTGCGAAAAACCTGGTAGCGTCAGTCTTTTATTCTCACGCGTTCATATATGAAAAAAGATTAATCAAAATAAGCCCTGACACATACGAATCGCTACATTTTTTGTTCTTGCTCTTTCGACATTCTCTCTTATCACTAAAAAGAGTGTCACATTTTTTTGAGCAGACAGTAGTGGGGGCGGGCCTGGGAGCTGCTTTCCAACTTTCCAAACGATGAAGCAATCAAAAAGTTAAAAGTTCAAGTGTTAAAATGCCATGTACATGCCGAAAGTTTCGAGTGTACGCTTTTTATTGAACTACGCAAACAATTACATACCCGTAAAACTCTCTCGGTTGCTCTCTTGGTACGAGCGAGAAAGAGAGACAGAGAGAGAGAGAGAGAGAGAGAGATGGAGCAGAAAAAGGAAAAACTGGAAAAACAGAACGCGAATGAACGTATGAGTGCCGTATCATGTTAGGTATCCCATGTGGCAAAAAAAATGTGAGTCATTTTTATTTGAAATTTTCTCGAGGCTGCGTGTTTTTTTCGTTCAAATTCATATTTTCAGACTACAGTTAGTTAGCCACAGGTGGCTAACTAGATCGTTCACTATCCGATAATAACCTACATTACAAAGTAATTCAATTAAAAATTGAGTCATCTTAATGCAAGGCAGTAGTCTCCAGTGTAGTCGACTACGTTCAATCTGTACATTTAAAATGCTTCGACGTGTCGAAACTCATCGTTGGACACAACGGATGCGATGAAGTGCCATGGCACTTGGCAGCTTCATTGTCAGTTGACTATTTCTATCTAGGTATTTAGAACGCCCGACAGCATAGCTTCTTTTTTTACACAAGGGATGATAGAGGATCGCACACGTGTATAACGAATATATGGATTTTGGCCGTGTAATTGGATATCTGGTTGAAAATTAATGCGAATTTCGGTTGGTTGGTTGGTTGGTTGGTTGTGCGTGCGTGCTTACGCCGCATATTCACATCTCGCCACTAAATTGTTTCTTTCGGTATTATTCGGGGCATGCAGTGTGTATGTTTAGAGACGAAGGCATGGAGCGGCAGAGGGCGAGATTGGCAGAGAGAGAGAGAGAGTGAGAGCGCACATTTGTCGACATAGTCGTTATGTTCACAACATTAATTTAAATAACGAAAAATATGCGTCGCATATTCCAACATTGTTTATCTTTCTCATCTGTTTATTTGGATTTACGGATGAACTCGATGTTCAGTCTCGTTCTTCTCTTTTTTGCTGGTTTTCCATCCAATGTTACATGTTTCTATTACTTATTCGCTCTTTTTCAATTTTGGTTGCTCTCTCGTTTGTTTCGTCTACTCTTTCTTCTTCGTTATCGCTGTGCCCTCGAACTTTTTCGCCCCATTTCACTCTCGCCACCTGTCTGTCGCTCGTTCTGTGTTTTCCTGCTTTCACATTTTTAAAAACGATGCGATTGAATTGAATGAATCCTCTTCGTAATGATTTTGTCAAAACCACAATTCAATATTAATAACAATTAATTGCGTTGCACCGTACCGTGTTCAACCCAAAGCCTCAACCAAAATACTGTTGTCTCACGCTTCGCTGCCTCATCATCAATTAAAACAGGGTTTCCATTGAATTTCCATTAATTTCAATTATTATTGTTTTCATTGTTGGAAAAAAAAGGGCACCATTATTACCACCACCACCATAAACCGTGCGCAGTGAATACGTACATGATAGATGCGCTTAATTCCCGATTTAATTTATTTGATTCTCATGTCATGTGTACGTGTGTCATGTATGTGTGTGTGTGTGTGTGTTCCGGTGACTGTGTCAAGCGCGAGTCATTTAGTTTCAAGATGCCGCCGCTAATTGCATGGAGATTTAAGGCCGTAAATTGAATTGGTACACTTGTTTACGCTTATTTCACGATAAATTTACCGTACGTGCGCGATGCTTGAGCCAAATGATGTGTTTTTTTAAACGCAGCCCAGTGTTTATTACCATTTATTTTCGTTCGTATATTTGATGCGTATCGAATACGCCCGACACTCAAGCACATCTCATGTGATCGAGCTAATAGAAAATAGAGCTTGTTATTGCTTGCAGATCTGCAAGGTGTTTACTGGTTTTTTTCCTCTCTATCGACAGCCCCAAGATGATTGTTGTGCAATCAATGATTCTGTTCGCATTTGTTGTTACTGTTGTTATACTTATTGTTGTTTGATTTTCCAATCTAAACATCCGTGTTGTAATTTATGACGTTGAACCTTGGTCATTCACAGTGTGAAGAGAGCGGAGAGTCCTTTGTAATAGATTGACCTTTGTAATAATTTCGAGATGTGTTTCAACTTTAAAAACATCAACAATATAATGGCGTCGCATCTTTTGCTCGCTCGAGTCGAAAAGCTTTGATGTCGTCGACGTCGTACGTCGTCGTCGGGGTAAAGAGGAATGTGAAAGTTGCTGCAAAAACAAAAATTTCACTGCTCCAAATAAAATGGAAACGCTTTCGTTTCTTCTTCTCATTAACGTGGAACAAAGAGCATATATACACGCAACTCAATTAAAAATATAAAATTAAACCATTTTCGGACATTTACGCAAAATGAATGCTTCAGGTTGTGTGTGTGTGTGTGTGTGTGAAAAGTTCTTGAAATAAAAAAGCGGAAGAGAGTAAGGAGAGAGAGAGAGAGATAGAGTCCATGCGAACCATCAAGTGGTTCGGTTTTCTGGCTTTGAACTTTGTTTTGACTTTAATAATATCAACCACTTTCTTTCGGCATGGGAACATTTTCACGATGCTTTTTGATTTCGTGTCGTTGTCTTCAGTCGATTTGGTTGGAACAAAACCATGTCAATACCAATGAACATGGAATCTACACGGTGAAACAACACATTAAAAATGGCTACTGATCGGCGGGAAGCATTTTTTTTTCGGTGCAACTCGAAAAATCATTGAATGTGTTGCTATTTTTCTGTTTGAAATTTTTGGTGAAAAACAAAACAAGAACAAGAAAATAACGAAAGAGAAAAGAAAAAAGCCTCAACGAGAGCTGTTTGAAGAAAAGAAAAAGTTTCTCTTTTTATTCGGTTAAGTTTTTTTACATTTTTCATTTCATATTTATATTTGATTATAAAAAAAAATGATCGGTTTACATGTTACAATCAACGTCATGCTCTCCCATTCTCTACACCGTGACAGATGAATTCGGCCGAATTTTTCAATTTAATCCATGATCGGCTATGATTGACAGCACTCAAAATCGATCATTCACATTGTATAAAAGTTAAATGAAAAGTAAACAGTGAATGCAAAGAACAAAGGACGAGAGAGCAAAGAACGAACAGAAAAAAAATGTGTAACAAATGTAAACAATGTTTCCATTGTGTACTATGACAATATAGGCGATTCATTTAGTTTCCGTTAACGGTGCCGGAGGGGTTACCGAGTTAACGAAAAAAAAGCTCTATCTCTCTCTCTCTCACAATAAATTTAATTTTAAGTAAATACCGTTTTTTTCTGCTGTATCCCTTAAACTAATATTGATACTTTCTGTCTACTTTTTTGGGTCGCTTTTTATCCGCGTGGAAAATGTTGTGCCTAAAGGGGGTTTGGAAAGCAAGGATTCCAATGTCAAAGTGAGTAACAATACTGAGCATAAGTTTCAATATATTATCCGAAGAATCTGGTGTTATTCATCGCAGTAAAAATGCAATCAAATGTAAACTGTCTTATTTATGCGGAGCTCAATTTCATAAATATTCTCACTATTTTCTCTCTCGTTCCAGTTTGTTCGTTCGTTGTACATAAGCGATGCCATGAGTATGTAACATTTAAATGTCCAGGTGCTGATAAAGGAGCCGATTCCGATGTAAGTATATCATGTACAATATACACACATTCTAGCGATTATCATTTTGGTTGATTTTCATCTCTTTCTGCCCCCTCGATCTTCCCAAACAAATAAAATGACACAAAACATACATAAATACATTTATTATGCATCAATATGACCTTTAGATGAATATCCGTTATACATATAAATATACCGAAGTGCGATTCCGTTTTTGTAGATGTACATTTACCCGAATAAGAATCAAAAAGGACCGGAGAGAATAACCATAACCATACTATTTAAATAATAATAATCATGATGTGTTTGCCATCAAATGTGTATGAACAACGCCCAAGTTTTCCTTAATTTTATCTTTATTTGAAATTTATGAGCTATACACCGGTTCATAACCGTATCTAAATGAACATACACACTGGCAGAAACACCCATTTTAACTGGCAAAAACATTATTTTGTTCATTTGAACAAAGTAATATTGTATTGCTATGAAATTGTCGTACGGTAACAAATGCAAAAATAAATTGTTCGAAACATTCGTGCAATGCAAAATATAAACAAACAGCCGCCATCGCCGCTGTCATCATAGTCGCTGCCTGCCGAAGCTGTGTACGTGTGTATGTTTTACTTTTATCGAATTAAATTTGCACATTCTTTTCGGGTGGATTTCCATAAAACGCAACGAAAACGTTGATTCGAAATGATTCGATTAGTGTGCCAGAAAGAGAGAGAGAGAGAGACACACACAGAGAGAGATGTGACAACATTTTGATCTAGTTACAGCCGATGAAATTGTCACTAATCAAATTATAAAATAACATATTCTTCATGCGCTGAGAATTTTCCTTCGAGAAGAAAAAAAGACAGCTTTTCGAAAATTAATCTTGAAGTTTGCGCGCATCATTCGATGAAATTCCCACATCTCTCTCTCTCTCTCTCTCTCTCTCTCTCTCTCTCTCTCACTCTCTCACTCGAATACCTCCTGCACATTGTTTCCAAAAGAAAAACCATTTACTCGCACGAAAGCATCTCCATACATACACAACACACACACACACAGTTGCTGCGTTTAAAATTCAATCGAAAGTTACGACATTCAAATGTGCTGTATAATATTCCAGTAGAAAATTATTGCGTGACTTTGGAAACAATGTGGGATAGAAGATCGAATCTTCGGTGTTTGTTTTCGTTTTTTCGTTTTTCGCTTATTTCGGATGTCGGCGCGCACAACACAACTAGGTCAAGTCAAGTTGATTCATTTTCGGTATTTGGCTCGCTCTGAATAATTCTGGAATTAAAAATCAAATGAGCGGATCGTAATGAATTTGGACCATTTCGTCATTGCTCTTTGCATTACATTCACATTGGTTTCGTTCGTTCCTCTCATTCTCGTTGTTTATATACACGGTACATATCATTTGACATTGATGATTGTGTCGGTTTCGCTTCTTTGTTTTATCGGTATATTCACATTGTTCAAGCCAAAAACGCTTGATTTTCGTTAGATTATAATACACGGTGTTTGTGTCCGAAATATGTATACAATGTGTTGCGTTCAGTTGGCAGTCGGACCCGAGACATGACTTATTTGTTTGCGCTCCATATGGTTTTATTGCGTTTATGCACTCACTAAAACCGCAATGTCCTTTTTTCTCTCTTCGGTTGGGGACTGTAACAATAATTGAGTGTCAGCATGATTTTTCATTGCGTGTCATTCGTGTGTATCGGCTACTGTTTTATTTAGTCGACGTCTTCTTCGGCCTCGTCTTTGCTTCGCCAAAAATGATGATGATGATGATTGTGTTGTAGTAGTGTTTTGAAACGGTACGGATATCCGTTGTCCGACATATATTTTTGTTTTGTTTTTGTTTCCACTGATTTGGGAATCACCAACAAGGCGACAACCATTTGTTTTTCCGTTTTTATGGGCATCTCTTACACTTCGTGAATGCAATTCGATTTAGAACAAAACACTGGCACGTTGAACATTATTACGGACACTTCGCTTGGCTTCTCTATTTTTGACGAATGATCATCTAGCGTTTGCACTTTTTTCGGTTACTTTTTGTAAATCGGCGGATTCTTTGGGGAATATTGTGCTGAAGTCACCGTTTTAAGTTCGATTTTGTAGCAATGCGACGATGGAATTTCCGGCTCACTGTCGAATTCATGACGGAAATATATACATTTTGCAATCACATTTACTCTTCCATTGTTTCACGAAAACTCACACAGAAAAAAAGTGACACGTAAATGCGTGAATGTGAGTTTCAGTGTTACTTTTTGTTTTACTTTCGCAGTGAGTTTAAATAGAAAACATTCGATTTTTGTTTCTTTTGAATTCAGCTTTTTCCAAAGCTTTTTTTTCTGTTTTCCTTTTTTTTCACTTTCGCATTTTTTATTCATGATGAACCACATTTTATTTTCAGTTGAACAAAAGTTTGAACATACATTTTCAGTTTTTGGTTTTCTCTCTATTTATCAGATTTTTTCATTTGCACTAGTATATTTGCACTTTTTATGCTTCATTGTTTTCACTTTTTGTCTGCTCTTTTCAATTCTTCCTTTTTTTCCCGACTTCTTTTGAATTTTATCCCAATTTAGCCGTTTTCCATCCCCTTTTTTTTATTTTAAATGAATTTGATATTTTTCTCTTTATGAAATGTATGAATAAATTTTTTCCCGTTGTACTTTTGGTTCTACTACTCAGCTATTGAGCATAATCAAAATGAAATGACAAAAATGTAATTTGCCAAAGAGGATTCATCAAAATCAAAGAGTGAAACGCAAACAACAATTGATTTAATTTTTGAGTATATTCCGTACATTTCACGAATGAATTTGACAGGTGGAATGAAATCCATGTGTGTAATTTGGTATACCATTTGAAAATAATCGTTTTGGGAAGTATTTCGAGTAGTACGCACACGTATTTCGATAGATAAGCATACATTTCAGGGCAAACATATATAAAATTTAATAAACAAACAAACCATTGAGATAAATAGAATACACATATTTCAATATATAGTAAAATGATGTTGTCAATGAATTTTAGGACACTCGCACCAAACATGAATTTAAACTATACTCATATTCAAGTCCAACTTTCTGCGATCATTGCGGCAGCCTCCTTTACGGTCTATATCATCAAGGGCTTAAATGTTCAGGTAATAAGTCAAAAACATACACACACACAATAAAGTAAAATATCGGCAAACGCATCGAGAACATGCTCTCGTTCAGCATGAGTTCAAGTGTGCGAGACGATCAAATATAGACCGAGAATTTAAACAAACATTTAAATAAGAAACGTATATATGCGCTCCATATTCTACGTATGAAATTTTGGTTTTTTATTATAAATTTTTTTTATCAAGTTACACATGGAACAGTTGATATTTTATAGACTTTGCTTACTGGAAATGTCTTTCTCTTTCTGTCAGCTAAAGACAAACACATATATTCAACTCTCGCTTTTCATCGTTTATTTGCGATGTGTTATTTTTTTTGTTCGTTGCTTCCCTCTTTTCGCTGTGTGTATGTGTGCCATTATACAATGGGAATTTCGTGAATGCTTATATTTCGTTTTTGCTATTATATATTATATATTCAATCCGTGTGTACGCATAGAAGTTTTAAGATTGTCAAATTATAACTAACAATCGTTTCCATTTCCATTTGCTGCTACTACTTTGCTGAACAAAGTTTGCTCTATATGTGTATGTTTCACTATCATTTTCGCTCTGTCTCTTTCTCTTTCTCTGTGTATTACTACTCTATTCGTACTGTTATGTGTGTGTTTTGCGTGATGAAATGAAAAAAAAACAGTGTTGTAGTTTACGTTGTGCCCATATTTCTTACACGTACAACGCTTTTGCTATATTCTATTTATATATACGTATTATTTGATTCGTTACTTTTGCGTTTTCCTCCTTTCTTTCCTTTATTACAAACTTCCATCGTCTTCACATTTAAGTTTCTTCATAAAATGTGTTGTGATTGTTCAGTCTGGTAGAAATATGTTTCTTCTTCGTCTTCTCTTTCCATCTCAATTTTCTAGTCGCTGGGGGTTGGTAAAAAGCACATACACACACGTGCGCGCGCGCTCAGTATTTATGCTTTATTCAATTCACTTTTGAAAGAGAGAAAAAAATTTAGTTTCGTGGAATGCATTTGCCATTTTCAGTGCGGAAAATCCGCTTTTTGAAGGAAATTACTATGTTACAACAGACAATGTGTATGCCGAAAAATAAAAGAACGAGGAGAACTTTCCCCATTTCAGGACTCAGTCGCACAAAAAGCATATTTGAAATGTAGATTTCATGATAAAATATTGAAATTGAAGTTTCAAATTGAATGGATGAAATTAATTACAGCCAGTGTGCAAATGGGAATAAATTTCCCATGGCATTTTTATTGGCAGGCAAATTATTTTCGCTTTTTTACATCATCATCAGTTTTTTTTTCCTCCTCAAACGGACCATTTTTTTATCAGCATCATTGTCCTTTTTGCGCTATGTGCATGGTGGTTTTCTTTTCGGTTACTGTAGGTCGAATCCATTAATTTTGAACTTTTACCGCTTGACTCATTTACCGCAAGATATTCATTTTCAACTCTTCATTTTTTCGATCAATTCAATTCATTTGTGTGTGTGTGTGTGCCGTATTCATTTTATTATTTACTTTACCATGAAAGCACTTCTGTTGACCCCCGGTGATTTCATTTGTTGTTAATCTATTTTAATAATATCGTACGATATACAGAGTCCAAATATATATTGAAATCGATTCCTGAATTTAATACCGCGAGCATCGTGCTTTTTTATCCATGGCATGTATTCAGAAAAAAAGGAGAAAAAAAAAGAAAAAACGGTATTTACACTGAAAAATGGATCAAATGAATCGAATAACAACAATATAAATTCTATCATCACTGTGTATGGTAACTTTTTTTTTCCTTTTTCTGTGTGTTATCTATGATCTTTTGCTCGCAGTGCCTATCGTCACAACAATTTCAGGCCACCAATTACGGCTAAATGTTTGCCTCGTTTGCCGTCGCCTGTCATTGTCGCTGTCACCGCTGCCGTCGCAGCTCAGTTTTTTACAATGTAAATGAAGAGAAAAATTGAATCATTTCTACAAATATTTACGTTGAAACCAGGCATAAAAGCTTTTCACTATTGCAAACCATATGAATGCGGTAGATTACTCGGTATAATCGGCGCTCGCATCAATGCACCGTTCAAGCTTAACAAATGAATCTGTATGTTTATTATCTTCTCTCGCTCTCTCCCTCTCTTCATTTCGTGTTGACTTTCTTTTATTGTACTTTTATATATACATCGATGAAAAAGCCATAAATTTCGTTCTGTTGATGGGATGATCCATCTTTGCTTGCACAGACAACTTTATTTTAGGTCATTGTTTTCTAATGGCAGTGCCAATCTGGATTTTCTTTGTCGTTCGCCGTCGTCATCGTGCGGCTCGTCGACGTGATTTTGTGTTTGTGTTCCGACTTTCCGTTTCACAATGGGTCGGTAATCGCGAACACGGAAATAGGTCAACTTTTCGAAAATTGAGAGAATGCCGGAAAGATAGATGAAGAGAAAGCTCAAGTACTGTAACATCCATGATTTATTCGTATGTAAATAAGTGGTGCATCTGTCGGGGGGTATTTCGAAGCACTTTACATTTTGCAGTGAGCACCTCTTCACCGTAAATACATTCGCATCTTCGGTTAGGCACCGCAAGCACATACATTTCATGAATTGTATTGACATTTTGTTCGATATTCCTTTTGTTTGGCCATACAATGCAACAGGACGATTCAGTCTCTCCAACTCCATTTCCATGGCCCGAACGCTATTCGCATTCCGTGTCATAAGAGATGCAAATCATTTTTTCCCAAATAATCAAACATGATTTCTCCCATTGTTCACCCATCGCACACTCATAATCTCTCTCTTTCGCTCTCTGCACCATTTTAGATGAAATGTAAAGAACCTCTTTTCTACCTCAATTCGATCTCTAATTTTTTTTATCATTCATTTCTACTAGCTACTTCCTTGAATTCTTGAAATTTCGATTACTCTTTGCTTTTATTCTACTACTTCTTTTTCTACTTCGCATATTTCACTCTCTCTCTCTCTCTCTCTCTCTCTCTCTCTTTCTGTTTACTTTCTTTTTCATCTCATTTCACGAAAAATACAAAACAAACAAAAACACACCGCTGCGATACTACGATTGCATTTCAATCCACAACAATGAAATGAATTACGAAACAAAAAAAATACAAAATTTGAATGAAATGAAAAAAAACACGCACACGAACAAATTAAACCAACGAATGAAATTGTGTGCACAGGATTCACAAAAACCCCACAAATGGCAAAATTATACATTTATTACGCCAACCTTCTGTGATCATTGTGGTTCACTGCTACATGGGCTCACCCATCAAGGTCTAAAGTGTCAAGGTATTTTCTCATCATTTGTCTTTGTCAAGTGATATCACTTAAATGCTGATATTGCCCAACCACCACCACCACTACCATCCCTCCGTACCACACTCACTCTCACTCTGTACATATAATTAAACAAAGCTCTAGACCAATACAAAAATATACATAGTACATACACAGTGGTCTTACACATCCGCGCCCCAAAATAATTCACACGTAGCGACAATTTGCATCTGAAGAAAGAAAGAAAAAACGAGCCAACCATCACCTGGGTGTGTGCCATTTCTCCCGGAATCCAAAGAGAAGAAAAATACACATTTTTATGTCAATTGGCACCACGAAAGGAAAGCACCACAGAATCTCCAACACAAATCAATTTGGAAACAGTCCAAAAAACTTTTTTTCCTTCTTCTTCATATTCTCTTCTTTAGCTCTCGTTAGATAGCACGATTTTCCTTTCAAAATGTTTTACACATACATGAAAAAGTCACTTAGACATACATCAGATTCACACACATTGCAAGTGTTGTTAATTAGAGATTCACTGTTCTGTCCCATTTGAACAGTGACCAGCATTTTGATTGCGTAGAAAGTCGTCTTTTTATTCCATATTTTATATTTATTCATGCATAGTACTAAACCAAAGTGAGAAAGTAAGTAAAAACAGATATGTAGTAAATGAGAATTAGAGATTTCAATTTCAGAGCTTATCACACGCGCCACATCCGGATGGCATTTGTCCGAAAGGTGCGGCAATTGGTAATGAAATGCATGCAGCCCCAAGCCACATGAATTTTAAACAGAGGTGCTAACTGCTAAAGAATTAATTGTGTCAGCAACCATTTCAAGAGTAGCCTCTTAGTACCTGAGATTTCTATCTGTCCTCTCTATCTCCAAACCGACAAAGCTCACTCATCGTATTCTTCACACGTTTTTGCTTCGTGTTTTTTCTTCAGGATTTCAATTCAGAATGGAAATAAGACGCGAAATCCCGTAATCACTTAATTTACTTTTCATGGGAAAATGAAAAAAATTTTCAAATCTCTCGTCACACGAATGAGGGATGGAAAAAGTTCAAGCCGTGTGGTTCCCTTTCTGTTTTCAGCTTTTTCTCTTTTGTGTTTGAGTGAAGTGGCTTTTTATGGCATAAATAATTTTATGCAGCCAACCAAATGTTCTTTTTCGAATTCCACAGCAAAAAGCTGCCAAACATCAGTGCACTCATTCGCTTTGGAAATGTTGATAGTGGCGGTGGCGATGCGAATATTTGGAAAAGCGCTGCATGGACGCGTTTTTAATAGTTGTCAACATAACGAATAATTATTTGGTGTAATCTTGATGATTTTTGATGCATAATCTTCCTATAAATGTCGTCAACATTTAACTCGAAAGCAACTTCTCTGAAGGGATTACGTAACAATGAGACTAAGAATTTCATTCTCCCAAGTGGCATAAATCATATCTCATTCTCGCTCTGTTGTTCATTGAGAGTGAATGGAAAATGAGAGAAGAAAAACAACAACAGCAGAAGCAGCAGCAGCAGAAACGAAACAAAGCTTTGAGAATGAGATATGCAGAGGAACCTATCGAAGGAATATTAAAGATGGAACCGACAAACAAACACATCTTTCATCGAGAAAGAAAGAAAATGATCGAGAGTTAGAGAGAGAAGGAGAGAGAGAGAGAGAAAATGGAATGGAACAAATATGTCATCGCCGAAAGCATTGAGAAGCGCACCGATGTGTGACCAATTTATATGTGCACTCCATATGTGCTCATCGATAAACAATGCCGAAAATAAACTGCATTCCTTCACCCATCTAATTAAATTATGCTCAGCACATGCTTCACACACAGTCACACATACAAACGTATCTTAGAATTGAATGCATCCGAATAATAGCAACACATGTACCATGCCAATGACGACGATGGAATATTTGCATTTGACTTATGATTATTAACAACACATTTCTTTTCTCACACAAACACACAGAGAGAGAGGGAGAGATAAACAATACATTTTTTCCTTTGCTATGTTTCGCTTGTGAGCTCATTCACAATCCCATTGCTCCAGTTGCTTTGTGCCAAGAGCCACACAGTATGTCGCCGTCATAATCCAATAAAAAACAAAAAATATATATAATAAAACGAGCTTACTTACACATTCGTCTTTTGCCGCAGCTATTTTGGCCTGTTTTTTTTTTCTTTTTTTTTGTACCCCCAACATCTGTGTCCTGTTCGTTGTTGTCGCCGCTGCTGCTGCTTCTACTGCTGCTGCTTCCACTTTTGTCATATCCAAGTCAATTACATCCCTCCCTCTATTTCTCTGCCTACCTCCCCTCTCTCTTTTTCTCAGAAAATGTATTCGACAGAGAAAAAAAATGTGTTGTAAGAATGCCAGAATGGGAAAAAAAGGGCGAGCGACAGAACGAAAAAAATACAAACAATTTTCATTCAAAAACGGTTTTCGCCGAAACATTTCGATCGTAATAAATACCATATTTAGGCTGAATTATGTCGGTTTGAAAAGCCGTTGTTTTTCGTTTTAGTTTTCCTCTATACCCTGACTGTTGTTTCCATTGTAAAAGCTCATTTCATGAATAATTTAGTTGGATTGCCATATGATTACGTATGTAATGTGAAATAAATCGAATTAAATGTTGTTACGACGAGAGAAGAGAATACAAAAACATACGTATGTTTGTGTAAACCCAAGCAATAATGCGTTGTCATAGGGCCAACGTGAGCAGCAGCAGCAGCAGCAGCGATGTGGATATTTCGAAAATCAATGGCATGATTCCGGGTGAAAAAAAATTCTTCTAATTATGGGGTTGATCTATTAGGTGGTTGCCAACACACATACGACGATATGTGTGTGATGGGTGAGATGGCAAAGTGCGAAACATTTCCTCGATCATCAACTGAATCACTTGAGAACAACAATGCTTTGACACTCCGAACATCGACGAACACGAAAAACCGTTCACAAGGAATAACACAATAGACGGCTGTTGCGATGGAGTGAGGTAGAGCGAGAGAGTTAGAGTGAAAAAAAAACGAGTGGGAGCGAGAAAAAAAGTGTGGTGATTCCAATACTAATGCGTGCAAATGAAAGGCAACTGGATTTTCATAATGGATTTCATTCATTTTCGTATTGTTTCTCGTGTCATTTTATTTCATTTGGAAAATGGTTTGGAAATGCGCGCGCGGTAAAAGTAACAGACACACACTTATGCCATTCGCACCAAATCGACGCTCACGCTCCCGGCTCCGGCAAAAAAAAACAGCCAAGTGAAATAGAATGTGATTGTACTCGACCGAAGCGCAACAACAAAAAAGCACACACACACACACACACACACACACAATGCGCGATTTATTGGCACATCGACCTGGAATGACACAGATTTTGAACGCTTGATAGTGTATGCAATTCACACTGTGTGCACATTGGCGCATGGCATACAAACACAAGCACACAGCATCCACAGCGAGAATGAAGCGTGCCTAGCCAATGTCAAGCACAGGACAATTTAATCCGTCGCAATGTTCATTTACAACGAGCCCGTATCCATCGTACAAATGGGTCGGAACAAATGGAGTCGAGATGAGCGAATGTGAAATGGTTGACGTAGTGCGAAACAGATAGGAAAAGAGGAAGAGTTACTGCGAATAGAGAGTTAGCGACAAAAAAGAAGACGGAGAAAAAGAGCGTAACAACAAATTGAGACCAACGAATCGTCACAAGTAAAATGAATATTGTATTACACATTCCTCAACGGAGATCTCATTAGTTTTAATAAGACTTGAGTGCATATATACAACAATTTTTGACAGCAACCAGTATTCGATGTATGTTTTCACGCGAGCAGTCATTCGGTTGTTGTTGTTGTATTTTTCTCGAAAACTGTAAATCCTGGGCAAATCAAGCAATGAAACAAATTGCATGCTAAAGCAAAACGATTCATCGGTAGCCAATGAAAATGCTAACGTTCAATATTCATTCAACACAGCATGATATTGGCACACAACCGACCGATGTAGTCTTGAACAAAACCAAAGCAAGCGCCATGAAAAGTGAAAGAGAGAGAGATGTGGGGGGAAAACGCATCAAAACAAGCATTTTGCTGCTGCTGCACCCGTTTTTTTTTTCATATAATAATACGAGAGAATGTCACTTGTTTTGTATAGCGAAGCATTTGCTGTTTCCAATAAGCGCCATATTTTTTTCTGCCATTTTTGCTGCTCGCTTATTCTCTCTATACGTTACACATCTAGATTTTCATATCTCTGGCGATTATTTACACTTCAGTGAGGAAAGCTTCATGGAGCAAACAAAGAGAACATTATATTCGTCGCGCTATTCATAGCCAGGCAAGTTCTCTATTTTTTGCTTACAGTGCGCCAAGCCAAGCCAAACGAATCGCATCACCGAGAGAGATACATATAGCGAGTGAGAGTGTAACGTCGACGACGGCGAAGTCGACAATGGAAACAGCAACAGCAACAACGGCGACAACAACTGTTCGCATCATTGTGTGTCTCACTTCATTTGATTTTCTCTGTGTGCCTTCTGGAATGACTAGAATCGATAAAATCTCATTAAAGGTAATTAGGATCCGGAGATATGTTAATACTCAAAGCGGACGCTTTACATACAGCTTTCTAGCTCTCGTTGTTGTCGCTCTATCTCCTCTGCACTTACTTTCTTACTATGTCACACTCTACCGTGTGTTGTCGTTTAATTTTTTCCTTTTACTGCTTCTGCTCTCGTTCGTTTTTCGTGTTAGATCATTTAAAATTTTAATTACTATTGTTCTAGGATAATTGATTGGTTTACTGTTGATGAGCAAGTAATTTAAGAAAGACAAACAAAAAAACAAATGACAAGAGCTTATCTCCGACCCAAACTTCAATTCAAAACCACTCATTGTATATTAGTTTTTGGGTTGCAATGCCCTAAATTTGTTTGAGTGCTATGCTGTTGCTGTGCTATGTGCTGCCAGCCATGCTTCGCATGAGATTGTCAAATCACAGTGGTTTGCTGTTTTTTATGTGTGGAAATAAATGAAGAAGCCATGCTTTCTGGTCACCTTTCGATTTCCACCATACAAACAGCCACATATTTGCAACGAAGCGTAAACAGCACCTGATGACTGAGTTCATTCGATTGAATAATGAATTCATAGCACTCGCTCTCTTTCGCTCTTTTTTTTCTTTACTTTTCCTCTTCTTCTTTTTTATGTATTCAATTCTTTCATTTTTTGTATTTGTTTCATGTGTGTGTGTGTGTGTGTGTACGGACGGAATCTGTGTTTTAATGGCATAAAATGGAAAAGATCATTGTGAAAACCTTGAAAGAACAACCGATTAAGATTCAATTTCAAGTGAGGTTTTTCATCGTAAAATTACCCATTGTCACGATGCAGAAAAGCAGAGAAAAAAAATTATCACAAATTTTCACAGATACATACCATACCTAACAAAAATATTCTCAGCAAAAAAGATATGTAGAGCATATGACATGCTTTATCGATACGCCAGCCCGGTAACATCTTTCTCTCTTTCCTTTTTTTCTATTTTCTGCCTTTGTCGAGCACCACGCTTACCATTCCAATTAATATACAACAAAAAGCGCGTGACGAATAGCGCTTTCAATTTTTATTTATTCTCTTTTTTTCTGCTCGCACAAAACTGCATTGTGAACGTGCGAAGAACGTGTTTGAGGCAACGGGATAATTGAATTTTTGCTCAATATACCGGAAATAATCAAGTTCATTGGTTAACAACACAGTGAAGCGCAATGGTAATAAATTCAGCAAATCCAAAACCGTTCAGAGTTCAGTTTGCATTGCTTTTGTCCCTATCGGAAGATCACTGACTTGAATCATGAATGACATTTATCTGACAAATGTCATTTCTAACATTTGAGTAAACCTTATGACGAAAGCCTTTACTTATACTTTCAAACTATACCGTATAGATGCCGTTAGAGCATTCATTGCTGAATATTTTCCATTTACAGCGCACTTTGTTGTTGGTTAATAATAATGATAATAATCAATATTGTGCTTCGATTTGGCACACAGCTAACGTGAGTGCGCGAAGTGCGCGCAAGCTCGGCATCATTATCGATTGCGAGAAGAGAAAAATAGCATTTTGCCACGCATCAAAATCGCATTTTTACAACTATTCCCCATCAAAACATGCTCCAGCTTAATTGATAATTATCACATTTTTTCAGCTATCAATTCCGTATTCAATTTGTTAGTACGCGCCCAAGCGAGAAGGATAGAGAGTGAATGAAAGAGAAAGAATGAGATTAAAAATCTGCTGATGCATTTATCTGAAGCGCAGCCAAATTGAATGATGAATACAGATGGAAAAAATGGGGATAATAGCAACTTTATCGAGCTTTATTCACAGCTCATTTCATTGGATACACAATTGATTCCAAATAGCATAATCAACATATAAACTTGACTGAAAAACACCGGTTCGCATTTCTTCTATGCGAGGAACTCTATTAGTGGCAATTTGAGTTGAACGAAGAAGAAAAAAAAACTTGTTGATCGTCCTTCAATTATTAATTATGAACGAATGAGTGTGTATGTTTGAGAGATACAGTGAAATTTTTCTTCATTACCGATTGTTATTGTTTGAAGTGAAAAGCTGTGCTTTAATTTATCGCTAAAGTCAATGTCAATTAATTCACTTGTGAAACATTTTTCTATTTTTCCATTATAAACTCATTACTTTGATTATACTAGTTGGATACATATGCTGTTTCGCATCCCATCATTAACGGTTGATGTGATTTACCAAAATCTCCTCTCTCTCTCTCTCTCTCTCTCTCTCTCTCTCTCTCTCTCTCTCTCTTTTCTTTTGTGATTTAACAAGATCAACATCAGTGAAATTTATTTTGAACTTTTTGTTTTTAATGCCTCCGGCGAAATGTTTGTTAGTTGATAATACATTTTCCGTCATACAATTAGCAATAAAAAAAACCAAAATACAATATACAACTCTTCGGCGCATCCTTTGAAAAATCGAAGATGACCTAAATCCAATCACACAGGCTCACAGCCCACTTCAAATTAGTTCAGGGTTAAAAACTAGGTTGAAATACATTTGCACATGTTAACATGCATCTACTACTATTTCTTGCTGCTATTGCTGCTACTATTGCCTAATAAAATCATATTTAATTTAGAAAAATTAACATAATTTCATAATTAATTTCAATTTTCCTCCCAAATTTGCACCAGTATTTTATATGCTGTGCCAACATAGGCACATGCATAGTTCACATGTTTATCACTTCATTTTTGGCTATTCACTGGATATTTTTTTTTCCATAACAAAATTTTAATTGGTTTTAACAAACGAAAAACCTGTTTTATGCTGAAAAAAACAGCACAAGGAAATTGTGCAATAATACGCTGAAACAACGTATATAGTAGAAATGGTTTAACAGCCTGGGGGAAAATGTGTCCCGAATCGCTGTTTCCGAAAAAAAACGAGATTGTTGTATGAAATATTTCCCAAGCGAATTTTCCATTTCAGCATGCAATTCTTGGGTTTCGGTCGTATGAAATCCGGCATTCAGTCTAGCGTATATTAAACTTTCATTTATTTGTTTCTAGTGTGCAGTGTGCATTGGATTCAGTGAACTTAAGAATGGAAAGCACAATTGTGAATCCAACTTGTTGCATGTGATACTTTTGTATGTAGTATTTTTTTCATTGTTGATATTATTGTGATAGCTGTTGATTGGCATAAGTGCGTATATTTTATGCTGAAGCATCCAGCTTTAGAAAGTAGTCATTTCCAGTAGAGTCAAAGTCCCAATTAGTGGAATGTTGGTGAAATTCAACATTGTCGTATCGCATAATGAGATGCCGTATGATGAGAGGTTAGAAGAAAGTCATTTTCAAAATGCAAAACCAAAATGCATTGAGAGAAAAAAGAAACCAAAGAGAAATAAACAAAACACTGCAAAGTGTTCACATTCGATACAAATGCACGTAAGAAGAGAATTAGAGCGCAATATTCTTTAATTTACTAGCAAATCCATATACATTTTCCAAAACTCACTCTAAACTTTGTATTTTCTTTTTATTTTTCGTTTTGTTGATTTTGTTTTGATTGTTTGGTTAACCCAAAACTGAAATGCAACAACAGCATGTGACATGAACGTACATAAGCGATGCGAGGAAAGTGTTCCGAGTTTATGCGGTTGTGATCATACAGAACGACGTGGGCGTATTCATTTAGGAATATCGTGCGTAGGAACAAAACTCTCTGTTGAAGGTAGATATTGCCAACATTCACTCACACACTGCTCAAATCTCTTTCGTTTGGCGAACGTTTAACTTTTAACTCTATTTACTTTGTACGAACCGAAAACAGTCAAAGAAGGACGAAATTTGATTCCAATGGATCCAAACGGATTAAGTGATCCCTATGTTAAAATGAAGCTCATTCCCGATACAGATAATGTTAAGAAGAAAACAAAAACCATTAAGGCGTGTTTAAATCCAGTCTGGAATGAAACACTCTCATTGTAAGTGAGATTTTTTTTTCTCTCTCTCTTCTTTTCCTCCATTTCTTATCTCTTCAGAATTGGTTTGAATAATTGTTATCAAATACTTGATTTAACTTTCTAACAATACAAATTTTCTGTTCTTGTATTTTGGATCGAGTTTTTTTTCGCATTTCAATTAGTTTCGAAACATTTGAGAATATTTGGGATTTGAAAAAAAAAAACGTTTTCAAACATTTTTTTTTTCGTATAATTTCAGCGATTTAAAAGCCGAAGATCGAGATCGGCGTATCTTGATCGAAGTATGGGACTGGGATCGTACGTCACGAAACGATTTTATGGGCTCATTATCATTTGGAATTTCTGAACTAATGAAGGTAACATCCCAATTGTCATTTCAATCTATTTTTCTCTTTCAAAAGAGCAGAGAAAATTTGTCATTCATTTAAATCTCAATTTAGTTTATTTCTAAAAAAAAATTGGATTTATTTAAGAGATTTTGATTTTTTTTACTCTAAAAAAATTATTTGGGATTTAAACAAAGGTAATAGCTTCATTTCATTATCTCCATGCACATTGTTTTCATTGCACTTGTCGCATCGAATACTTCTTGTATTTCTGAACTGTATAACATTTGAGAGAAGAGAAAAATGATCGAAAAACTAATTTTAATTTAAAATGCATTCCCTCATTGGCTTCTACAGCAGAATCCAGCTGATGGTTGGTACAAACTACTAACCGCTGAAGAGGGTGAATTTTACAATGTACCAGTTCCTGATGAAGGCACCGACTTGGTTCAACTCAAGAGTCAAATGCGTGTAAGTGAACATTTCCGCTGTGATTTGGTTTTGCTTCTTCAATGGGTCAATACTTAAATGCTGTTTCACATTTGCAGAAAACATCAATCACCAAGAGAATCACATCGGTTGATCGTGATTTGCCACACAATATGTCGAAAAAGGATATGATTCGGTGAGATTTTGTTTTTCATTTTCATTTAAACAATGACTCTTTGTGCACAATATGGTAACATATTTCGTTATTTTCTTCGTTTTCGTAATAACGAATCAATCAATGCCTCATGTTTTGTCATGTTCGTTTTAAAAATGTGCTATCCGTTCGACGGTCTATTTATTTTACATTTTTTTCAACTATCATGTATATGTATATCCAACAGATCAACTGATTTTAACTTTTTGATGGTACTTGGAAAGGGCTCGTTTGGCAAGGTAATTCCAATACACATGTTTCATAGCAAACAATAATTGAACCATTGCGACAAACAAATTCCCTCAGAATATTTTAGTTTCAAAGTGCAACATGATTTTTTTTCTTATATAGAGTTAACAACAACAACTCCATATGAAAAAAACTTTATGTTGCACTTTAAAACTAAAATATTCTGAGAGAATTTGTTTGTCGCAATGGTTCAATTATTGTAGCTACTTAGTTTTAGAAAAACTCTTGTTATTCTAACTTGATTGCTCAAGATTCTCGCTTGAGTGCATCCTTTGTGTTTGCATTGTCTTCAAGCATCTGAAATATAAAATTACATCATTTGAAGTATTCTAAGCATCTACCAACATCGAAAATTTATAATCAAGTATCTAGCACAAATATTTTTCATTCAATTTCTTGATAAACGCTTCATTTCCCCTTCATATCAGGTTATGTTAGCTGAACGTAAAGGTACCGACGATTTGTTTGCCATCAAAATTCTTAAAAAAGATATCATCATCCAGGACGACGATGTTGAGTGTACGATGGTTGAGAAACGTGTATTGGCATTATCGCAAAAGCCACCGTTTCTTGTTCAGTTGCATTCATGCTTCCAAACCATGGTAAAAAATGACGAACGTGAAACAAAAAGAAAAAAAGCAATTGCACTTATCATGTTGAATGGGGTTTTAATGGAATGGTTCAATGGTGTTTACTTATAGGATCGGCTTTATTTCGTGATGGAATATGTGAACGGTGGTGATTTGATGTTTCAAATTCAGCAGTGCGGAAAGTTTAAGGAACCGGTAGCAGTGTAAGTATTGTTCGACCATTTTTGGAACAGAAAAAAGCACAAAAGCAAAAAAGCAAAACGAAAAAAATAAAAGTCCGCAAAATTCCGAGAGATCTAGCATAGGAGTGATATCTGGCCGAATTTGAGAGGATGGTTTGTTTGTGATAGCAAAATTTAGAGCGCTTGTTACAAACCGTTGCCGAATGACTGGAAAAGTGTTGCTGCGGTTGTTTTTGGCATGCATTTTGACTTTTTCGGGTCAGTTGCAAAACAAGTGGAGCTTATCTCAACGACATGAGCACACACAAAAAAAATACACCACCAATACTACCTTCCACTACCACTCACCCACAGCACGGAATTCGGTTTCGAATTTGTCGCATCGATCCAATTAACGTGCACTGATATTTACGGAGGTTTTATGTTTGTTTCTAATTTGTATACAGGTTTTATGCAGCCGAAATCGCTATTGGACTGTTTTTCCTCCACTCGCGTGGTATCATTTATCGTGATTTGAAATTGGATAATGTTTTGCTGGATGCTGATGGCCACATCAAAATTGCGGATTTCGGAATGTGCAAAGAAGGTATAAGCAACGATAAAACAACAAAGACATTCTGCGGTACACCTGACTACATTGCACCAGAGGTAAATACCGAAAAACCAACCGACAAACACACACATTCATATATGTTTCACAGTTGGACTACCGATCGATGTTACGGTTGAAATCGATACTGAAAACCTAGGGGTTTCATGCAACTTAAAATTCATCTAAAATTTCAATATTTCTCTCTTTTCTCTCTCATTCTCAGGGATTCACCAAAATCCCTATTATTTCAAAATATTTCAACATTCACCTTGAAAATTATGTTCTGGAAATGGGTTTTGGTGCATCCTCAGGATCGTTCAAAATTGCTCTCGGTTCTGGGAGTGGGTTTTGGTGCATCTTCAGGATGGATCAGACCACCTCGATAGTCTCGTTCATTAAACGTCAAACCAACAACGCCACACATTTTGACGGGAACTACATTGATGAGTTTATTCAATGCAGTGTCAAATATAGTCGTCATTGTGATGTGTGGTGAAATAATAATTATTATTTGAATTTTAAATAAATAAAAATGTTTCGATTCTGCCAAATAAAATTGTGCAAATATGCCGCTGGCACACTAGACAAAAAAATTGCTTTCTTTCGGTAGATTAAACCCGTTCGTGGCAGAATTGTTTTTTTTATTTTGCGGACCATACTGAGAAAACGCTTGCGTTCGAACAAAAAATTACACTGAAACAGAAGTCGATTTGATATTAGCTGTCAAACCGGCAAGATGAACAAGTGCGTTTGTAAAGTGAGCGCGTTCACTCCGTGTCAGCAGGTTTTGGACGAATTTCATTTTGCAAATGATGTTGTTGTTAGTGTAATGAGACCCCCGCGGATCAGACTGGGTTTGACAATGCCCTGGTCCATCCTGAGGATCCACTTCCACAACCAGGAGCGGTTTTGAACAATCCTGAGGATCCACCAAAACCCACTTCCAGAATTTTTAGACTCAAAAAATGGTTAGATATTCTCAGTTTTTAAATAATTACAATAAAAAGAATTACATTGGTAATCCCGAACTTTTCCGTACCGTTGGCCTGCGTTGTCCGTAGGTACTTTTGGTTATTTTTTGTGAATTTTCTTGAAATAAAGGCAGTGAAAATATAATAATGAAAATAAAGTGAAAAATCGGTCACTTTAACCCTCTAATGCATTAATTTTTCCCAGGGCTGGGAGTACTGGTACTTGGTTGATTTTTGGCCATCAATAATTAAAAAATATTCATAATCCTGGATTCCTCTTGGTTAAGTCAGGAAATGTGATTGACATAGAACAGTCAAATCCATTGTTTAAAAGTGTCAAAAATTTGTCTAATTTCGAGTTCGAATAATTTATTTTGTCAAATTTTTGTTTTTGCACACATTTTTGTTTATAACTTTACAATCACACTACATAGACAAATATTGCCAAGACAAACCCGAGTAGCAAAAATCTCAGGCTTGCAACCAAAATTTGTTATAAATCGGTTTCAATTCAGTTATTCGCAACAAAATATGTTATAGAACAGTTGCAATGTGGTTTTTAGGTAACAAGGCATCCGCTTTGTTATATATAAGTTATAGAAAAGTTATTTTTAAGTTGCAGAAAAGGAGAAATATTTTAACAAATTTACCAACTGGTTGCCAGATAACTCATAATCTCAAAACTTTATTGTAACGTTGCTGCAACTACGATTTGGTTACATACGTAACCATGATACGTCAGTGCATTTCACCTTGTCAAACATTCATACATTTGGTCCAAGAATGCAATTCCTGTTGAAGAATTTGCCAAGCTAATGAGTTTCGAAAACGTTGAGAACGTTAAACGTTTCGCGTTGGTGGATTTCATCCAATCCAAAACCAATCATTACAATAAAAATAGAGAAATCACAAAAAAACAACTTGTGTTGAAACTACTACTTCATTACTATCTTTCTTGTTACAATAACGTAATTCAAGTTATAATTAAGTTACATTCATATTATATAGAGGTTACAGTAAGGTTACTTCAACTAAACATATTGAATGTAGATACGTTGCATAAAGAAATAAAATTTGGCTGTCATTAGAATTCTTTCCGTAAGGAATACATCGCCTAATCAAAATTCTGTGGCAATAAAATAAAATCATGGAAAACAAAACAAAAACAGACCAATTTCATTGAAACTGTCGTGGGATAAAATCAAAAAGAATGGAAATTATGAAAAAACGTAGAGAATTGTTCAAAAATATGCTGGCATCCAAAATATTGTTTGACATTGAAACGCAAAATAGAATTTTATTTGTTACTCTTACGTTTATACAACATTTCAAAAACTGAAATGCAACTTGAATAACACAAGTTGTAAATATGTTGCCGAAATGTTTTTGCAACGTGTTTTTATATGATGAAAGTCTAGATGGAAGCTAAGAAGTTCCTGCAATATTTATCCATTTTCAACATTGCGTTTTAGCTAATTATTATAATTTTGACATTATAAATCGTATTTGAAATGGTTTGAGATAGTTAAACGAAAAAATTAAAAAAATTGAAAAAAAATATTTTGCACATTTTTTCTCAAAATTGCATTTTTTGAAGGGCGCGTGAATTTTAAGAGCCTATCGTGGCCACTATTGACGACAAAATGACATTCGTTGTAAAATTTCGATTTTGAAAATGTTCAAAATCGGCAAAATATTTTCATTCTCACACATATATATGTAATTGCCCAGCGATCAAATATTTTTCAAGTTGAATTTGGCAAAGATAGAGATAAATGATGATGCCATTGAAAGGAATGAATTGAAGAATGAACATTCAAATTGAAACTCGATAGTAACTTTATTGAAACTTTCTTTGGTTATAAAAAAGTTATATTTTGGTTATATGACAGTATGCGATTTATCAGCATGGCTATTGCAACGATATAATAACATAACTAAAATCGAATTATAACCGAATTATAACCAATTTGTTACAAATAAGCCCCGCCTCGCGGCTAAACAGCTTACAATACGGTTATTGTAACGTTACAAAGATCGGCTTGCAACATCTTTGGAGTTGTATTTAAGTTATAGTAACCCATTTGCAACCGAGAAAAAGGGGAAATTTGCTACTCGGGAAAAATAAAGAGAGAACATTGACGAATAAAAATTCTCTTTGAAGCAATGTGATCCGATGTACGGTTTACGTTCTACAGACGTTCAAATGTTGCCCGTCTAGAGGCGGTTGTATGCATTAGAGGGTTAACTAAAACTTCGACAATTTTGTATGAGAGTCACCCGTAAACCGATTCTTTCTGAGGTTTCATTTTTTGGAGAAAAAATAAGATTCTGAAAGTCTCATGTTGATCGCATTTGCAGAAGTTTTATTTTTAGCCCTCAATTTTTTCCAAGAAAATGTCGACAAAAATTGAGGACAAAAAATCAAACGATCAACATGAAACTTTCAGAATCTTATTTTTTCTCCAAAAAAATGAAACCTCAGAAAGTTTGAAGCCAATCAGAATCGATTAACGGGTACCTCCCATACAAAAGTGTCAATTTTTTGAGGTTTTTCTTAGGGCAAGTACCCCAGGATCAAATCGGAAATGGCTTATCTTCGAACTTAAACTATATTTTTTGGATACAAAATATTTATAGATTTTTACTATCTCAATTATTTCTTGAGTTATCGTGTTAACAAACACCAACGACGACGACGGCACACGAACGGAAAAGTGTCTCAAAAAGTGGTTTTCTACGCGTTTCATGAGTTTTTATGATGATCTAAACCAATTTTGCGAAAAAAGTTTTCGGGACCAATTCCTATACTTTCCCTTAACACGGTGTGCCAGAGCGGTCAACGAGCGCTCGTTCGTTCGTTCGTATGCGAACATGTTCGTTTGTTCGTTTGTTCGTTCGTTTGTTCGTAGAATCTACGAACATGTTCGTTCGTTCGTTCGTTCGTTCGTTCGTTCGTAGAATCTGCAAACATGTTCGTTTGTTCGTTCGTAGGTAAAATTTCATTTTTTTTCCAAACATAAAATTTTCTTATTTCTTAAAAAAATATAGGAATGATCCTATGTACTCAATAATACTGTAAGCACTGTAATACTGTAATTTTCAAGTTGTGAACATTATTTTCGCACAAAAAATTGAACGAATATTTTTTTGAGTTTCCGATTGCACAATTGGATGCATAATAATGCAATAAGCAATAATAATGCTGGTTTCAAATGTTGTGAAACGAAGAAAGTGATGCATACGGAGAGAGAGATAGAAAAAAGTGACAAAGACAGTGTTCATCTCTTTTTGCCAAGTATAGTGTGCACATTTCAGATTCGTCTTGTTGCTGTGATATCATGAAGCACGTTGTCGCTCGAACTGTGTGTGTTGTACGATCACAGAACAAAACATTGTCTAAACGTATAACTGTTTTGCACGTGGCGATTTAACACAGTGCGTAAAACACACACTGTTTGAACGTCCATGTGATTTAAATCATCACTGCAACAAGTCTCTCTGTATTGCACACCATAAATGACAAAAAGAGATGAACTTTGCTGTCTTTGTCATTTTTATCTCTCTCTGCAAGTGGAAACTCAAAAAAATATTCGTTCAATTTTTTGTGCGAAAATAATGTTCACAACTTGAAAATTACAGTATTACAGTGCTTACAGTATTATTGAGTACATAGGATCATTCCTATATTTTTTTAGGAAATAAGAAAATTTTATGTTTGAAAAAAAAAAATGAAATTTTACCTACGAACGAACGAACGAACAAACGAACCTGTTCGCAGATTCTACGAACGAACGAACGAACGAACGAACATGTTCGTAGATTCTACAAACGAACGAACGAACGAACGAACATGTTCGTAGATTCTACGAACGAACGAACGAACAAACGAACATGTTCGCATACGAACGAACGAACGAGCGCTCGTTGACCGCTCTGCGGTGTGCACGGAAAAGTAAAAGAAGCAATATCTATAGTTTACACATAAAATGGTTATAAATGGTTTATTTCCAGCTATTTAGTAAAATCTTCGGCATTCGAGTTTGCGTGAAACCCCTAGCTTGAAAATGGCAGAAAAACACCAATAATTACTGTTTGACAGAGGCCAATTTAGGAAACGTGTCACACTGATAAAAACCAAATTGAGCCAATGGCCATACAAATCGAAAACTAAATGCCTCTTTCTCTTCCTACAGATAATCCTGTATCAACCGTATGGAAAATCCGTGGATTGGTGGGCATACGGTGTACTGTTGTACGAAATGCTAGTAGGTCAACCGCCATTCGATGGTGAGGATGAAGAGGAGCTATTTGCTGCAATCACCGACCACAATGTATCCTATCCGAAGAGCTTGAGCAAAGAGGCTAAAGATGTATGCAAAGGGGTAAGTGATAGTGCCGTGTGTTCGTGTGACGTTTTTTTCGTTTTTGGTCCAATTCTAATGCGGTTCGTGTGGTATCTTTTTATGTGTATCGAAATGTTCAAATGACAGTTATTGACAAAGAACCCACAAAAGCGTCTCGGATGCGGCGACCGGGGCGAGGAAGATGTTCGTGGTCATCTATTTTTCCGTCGCATCGATTGGGAGAAAATTGAGAGCCGTGAAGTGCAACCACCATTTAAACCAAAAATCGTAAGCAAATCCCCGTTTCATTTATCGAACACCCTCGACCGGACCAATTACTAATTGGTTTTTTTTTTATTTTTTTTTCCCCGTACAGAAACACCGCAAAGATGTATCGAATTTCGACAAGCAATTCACATCGGAGAAAACCGATCTAACACCAACCGACAAACTCTTCATGATGAACTTAGATCAGAATGAATTCAACGGATTCTCCTACCTCAATCCCGAATTTGTGACACACATTTAAGGTGTTTATATCCAGTTTTGGTTTTTTTTTGTGTCTGGCCCCCGCTGCCAATGAATCTGAATGAGAAACAACATCATCATCAACAACAAAATATAATATACAAAATACTACCAAAATACTCTTGAAGAATTATCGGACGAATCACTGGAAATTTTCCACTTTCGCGACATCAAGAAGAAATAAAACAACAAAACACATACACAGAAAGCAAATGGATGAGCTAACTCTCTCTCCCTATCTCTTTCTCATACAATCTTTTCTAGTCTCATTCGATCATCCATTCCCACCAATCCGATACGAAAGCGTATTTCCATGTGAATATCCGATCTATCTTGTCACCTTCCAATAGATTTTAGGCTAGCTTCAATACACAACAAGAAAAAAAAAGAAAAAAAATGAACTACCGATAGCAAAACATATTCTGCGAATCATGATATCGATAAATTTGACTAACTTTAAATCAAAAAAAAATAATGCAAAAAAGTCACATTTAAATGGTGAACACTAAACTAAATTTACTCTGGAGTGAGAAACACTGAAACGGGAACGGAACGGAACGTTCTGATAATTTTTAATTTAATTGCTAGCGAACATGCATACGACCATCAAATTACAATGTTTGCGGTTTGGTTTTGCATCGATCATGCATTCTCTTTTTTAAATATTCAATTTCACGACAGTATTTTGTATTGGATGCATTCCAATTTAAGTTCTAATTTTATTCCAAGTTCGATATTCGATTTTAACTTTAAAGTTAGATTTTCGATCGGAAAACGTTCGATTTTCTTTTGGGACAAAGAGATAAGTCAATTTCAGTAGGAAAAATGTTTTTATAGGGGAAATCCGATTTTTGATTCTGATCAATTGCGAAATTGTCATCTTTTCATTCAATACTGAACTGGTTGCTATTTATACAAAATGTTCGTGATCGTTTAGGAAAAATCCAATCTTTGCAATCAAAAAAGAAACTCCAATTGTTGATATGTGTTGGTCGAAAATTTTCATTTAAAAACTAAACAGAAATCGTTTTAAAGTTGTCTGTTCCGTTTCCCGATTTAAATCTAGTCTCTATTATGTATCTATTTCAAAAATCAGAAAAAATAATTATTCTTTGCATCAAGACCGATTCTTGATTCAAAAAACAACAAGCGACTTGTTGGACGAATCGCCACAGGTGCATGAAAACAAACAAACAAACAAACAAAAAACAACAACTATGATATTAAAAGCGATATGAAAAAAATAATATATGACACGTTCGAAACTTTAGCGACTTTTTTCTTATATATACATATGAAAATATATATTTAAAACTAAAACTAAAACTAAAAACAAAAACAAACAAATAATAACAACAGAAAAAATTGTGAGAGTAACTTGTAATTCCGACTTTCAATGTAGTTTTGAGTTTTATTAAGTATTCAGGCCGATGGCGCCGTAGACTTCTCCTATATGCCTTCTTTCTATTGAATAAAATTGTTTTTTCGTAGTGGACCAAAAATAAGAAACACATTGAATAATCTATACAAAAGATGATTGAAACAAAAGAGAAAAAAAAGATGAATCAAGATGTAGACAACTAATAATAATGCCGACTAGGCAAAGCACCGAATGTAATCGGTCCTATGTTGCAATTTGGAACGCAAAATGGGTTGCTCCTTATTTTCGTTTATGTTTTATTTCTATTTTTTTGGCTTGTACAATTCATTCATTTGTCTTCTCGAGGACACCAAAATAAAGTATTAAAAAAAGCATCTACACACAAGAAAATCCGATGAAAATCGTGATTATAGACGAATATGAAACGTTTTTCGGTCGCCTTTCTTAGCGAGTAAATGTATTCCAAATAGAAAAGAAAAAGAAAACTACAACAACTATCAAATGGTGTGGATGGTGGTCATAAACATCCCAAGATGGATTGAGTCATATGTAGCAAATGGGTTTTTGAGAGTAAAACAAGAGATCCGCTCCAAGAATGGTTTATCGTATGCAAAATGGTATGTGTCGCTCTGTTTCATTCAATCTTATGAGCCAATTTAAGCTTATTTGTGTTGGTCAGCATTAAGCTTTCGCCTGGATCTACTTGGCTTGCAACCATTTTCCAATCAAATCGTTTTTATCTTCGTCACTTTCATCGATAAAAACTGAATGACGTATCGTTTTGCGCTGTTTATGGATGCTGAGCCACATGTTATCGATCGACATTTAGATCTAAGTATGCAGAGACTGACTTGGTGTCAGTTCAAAACGCTTTTGCATTTTTCAATTCGAGGCATAAGTCATATGCACTGGTCATACGAATTCAGGTGTGCGAACTCATTAGAAGTGTCCTCCATTTTAAATGCATTCAATGATAGATTAGCAGAGATATAATGTTCCCGCTTTACCAACGAGCCCATGAGAGCTCACTTTTGAAATACATGCCAATTTTAAAATAGAACTCAAAACGATTTCTGTTGTTTAGTAGTGTGACGGCACTTTTGTTTTGAATCGATCAATCGAAGTGAGCATGTTTCAACATTAACAATAAGAATGTTTCATCGATATACATCAACATATTCATGTTCTCATGCTTTCATCGAACAATGCGTTCAGATTTTTATGAAGGATACCCGGTGGAATTTGGTATAGATCTTGATAAGTTCAGATGGTCTGAAGGAAGCGATGTGTTAACGCCGAAAATATTCAAGAAATTGTTTGGAGCTCATCATCATGGGCTCTACGCATTATTTTCATAGAATATCAACTCTGCTATAACTGTCGAAGGCTTTAAAAAAAAGTCATTCAATGGTATCACATGGAATAGGGTGAATTTAGAGCCGAAAAACAATAAAATGAATGATAAATGGCAGGCACATGGTTTCGTATGCATTTCTATCCCATCTGCTGTCGTGATTCATTCGCGTCATCTCATCCAATTATATTTATCAAATAAAATCGAATAGTCTGAAATGCCAAGCGAAAATAAAACAACAACAAAATGGCAAAATGGTATTCATTTAGCCCTCTGTTCAAAATGCCACCGATACAAAATGCTCGATGATTCAAAATGACAATCATTCTTATTAACATTCACACCGACACCTGTTTGGCACGAATATATATATTCCCGGTGCACATTCACCGACCTATCGAAATTATGTTTATACAATGCTCGATACACACAAATACACACGAAAGTTTCAGCCAAAAAAAAACAACGGTAACAAATATTTTACTCTAACGACACACACACACACACACCCAAGATAAAAATTTTCATGTTTCTTCATATATATAATTCAGGAGGCGATTTTCATATAGTATTCACACACACAAAAAAAACTATTTGCAAATTTTGAATATTTTACCAAATTAGAAAATATCTTGGAATATATTACAGTTTTATAAAAAATAAATAAAGAGACAACATGAATTAGCATTGGATGAACTTGTTAAGAGTCCGTGTTGGTTTCCCGTTATATTTTATGAAGTAAACACACATACACACAATACACGCGTTAAATGTTGAAACTTTGGATTTCACAATATGCACGCAACGCGAAGAGGAAATGCCGCATTTGCATTGATTGAACCGGCTTTTTGGGGTTCTTTAAAAAAATACGATGGATTCGGGGGGAAATTGAAAAATGCGTAGAAAAAATGAAAATTAAATAACTCATGTTCCTTCGGAGAAAAAAAACCGAAACTTAGAGAAACCATTTCTTCTATTCTGACAACCTATTTCTGCCGTTAAAGTTGTTTCCATGAAAATTTGCGTTTCTTTAGAATAAAAAAACATTACCACAACCCCCCTCCCCCCCGAAAAAAGCTGAGCAATGCTCAAATGGAATCTTGTATCAATTTCCCTCGGACATACATACCATCCGATGCAAATTCGATGTTCTCCTCGCCACCTGTGTGTATGTACTACTAACAATTTTATGCCGAACAGTTTAAACAATCTTTCTGATCATCTATTTTTGCTTATTTATCAACATAAAACTGAACAAAAAAAAACACATTTAGAATGAAGAAAAGTATATACATACATAATTAGCTATTAAAGAAGAAGATAGACTAGAAGAAGAAGAAAGAGAAAAAAAACAAAAGAAAACAGAAAAAATAACGAAAAAAAAAAATAAAAAAGTTAATACCTCTTTTACTGTCTAGTGAATCATTTTAAATGTCACCAAAAAAAAAAACAAACAACAACAAAAAAATGAAGAAAAAAAATTATTTAAAGAGAGCAAAAAAAATAACTCGTTGAATAAAATAAATCATGAGAATTTTATTATGTGATATTAATTAAAGGAAACTGTACGTGCTAAACACTAACATTAAACATTACATACCGTATTAAAAAGAACAAAGAAAAACCATAGCAATTTTTTCTTCGGTTATGTTTTCAGTTTTCATCTATGCACTCAAACATTCACTTTCATAGTCGGATCTCTCGAAAATGAATGATCAAATCCAAAATTCAATGAAGAAGAAAACCAACCTTGTTGCCATTACTATTAATGTTTTTATTGCAGAGATCAAGCGCATTTCATCTGTTTAATTATTTGCAAAATAATCGTCAAACATAAGCTCACTACTACGTGTGTGTTTAGAGAAATTTAAAACAAAACAAAACAAATAAAATCTTTAGCTCGATTTATTGAACTTTTTCTGCCTTTCAGCTTTGTTATCTCTTGTTTCATGCGACAGACACACACACGAATTTGATGATATTTAATAGGGAATGAAGAACACTTCATTCGATAACTTTATCATTAAAAATGAACAAAAAGTAGAGAAGCAAACACAGAGAGAAAACAAATAGTTGCTATTTTCGATCTTTTCACATATTTAAATGTAGATAATATATACGTTTTGTGGTTTTGTTCGAAACACGTCTTGAAGGACCCTGAAATCATTTCAGCTTCGAACTTGAATGAAGATGTCATCTGATTTCCGGGTTTGAATGTTGGATTTTTTCTTCTGTTTTTCTCATTCGTTGTGCTTTTGAATTTAATA